GTCAGCGAGGTTGCTGGGAACATGATACCGACTAAAGAGACTGCTTTGGGTATGGATGCCGCGCCCCCACCAGCATGCGCGCCACAGTTTGCGCACCACGGCGGCGCAGCTGCCCCACATGGTTCACAAAGCGGGGCGCAACGGAGACGGTTAATTCCCCGCGCGCTGCTGCAAGACCTGCGGTGTTACCTCGCACTCTGAACCACCTCAACTTGGGCCTCGCTCCTCCGTTGTTGCTTAATGCGGCAGTCCCCAAGCAGTGCGCCGCCGCCTTGCGGATAATTCCCCTGCTATGCCCCGGATCGCATAAAGCAGCTGGCCTGCCTCTTTGTGAGCTACGGGCGTTTGCCTTTTGGTATGGCGCCCCCAAACTTCTCTAAAGCAATGAACTCATATGAGCTGCGCCAACGGACTCGGTAAAAAACAATAGCAACAACGACGTGCGCCGCCAGCAAAGCCCCAAGCACGACTGACCAGGAGCCGCCCTCCTGGTGGCCAATATACCTCGACTCCGCGTTTTCCGCCTACGCGTTCGCCTCGCAATCTTTGAAAACATCTGGGCGTGTAAGATGGACTAGGTGAGTAAGTTCCCCGCCTGAGCCGCCGCTACGCGCCGGTTTCTGCGTCTCGCCATTTTCTCGGGATGAGTTCCACGCCTTTGTTGATAAGAAAACAAGGAAGTTTGGCATCACCGATAAAAACTCCACGCAAGGAACGGCCTTTTCACAGCTCCATTTCTACCTTTTCTGTGGCGCCCGCCAGCTGGGCATCTATTGGCGCGCAACTTCCAATGGATTGCTCGATCGCCGGCGAAAAGAAGCTTAAAATGAAGAAGCTCAGAGCCAACAAAGCGGATGTGGCACAACACACACACCGCGCGAGGACACTCGCAACAGATGGTGGTGTCGACGCTTCCTTGCCAGCTGGGGCAAGAATACCGATTTCTTCTCTACACCGCCCTGGGGTTATAGAGAATGTCAGCATTCACCGCGGCATACGCTCGCACAACTACAGGACGGAATCTTGTACGCTGCTGCTTCTGGCCCTCAACAAACTGATCGTTCTCTGCACCCAGCACGATAACAAAACACCATGCGTGGTTACATATAGTCAGTCCCTTCTGGCTGCCCGCAACAAAGGCCCACCCAGTCAAACCGACAGTACGAAAGACCAGATCTGGCAGTGCCTCTCGACACTGAGGTGTGCTGGCCGGTCAGTGCATCTGCAGTTTTGTTACGGACACCGTGGAATACCTGCAAATGACACTGCCAATGAATGTGCGACGCCGAACGCAACAACTGCTCTGCACACAGAAAAGCGTA